GTCACGACAATGAGCGATAAGGTGATAATACACGGTGGTGCGATTGAAAGTTACATTGTTCATTATCTGGCAGGTGCGAAAGTGGCATCCAAGGACGAAAGAATTTCTACGCGGCGGACTTGTTTGCTGGTCGAACGATTTTTATCCTCCGCCGCACTTGTGAATTTCGTCTCGCACGTATTTTCCTGGCGAATTATCGGGGAGCAGAGTGAATTTACGTTCCTACTCGAAAGCATACTATTTTATTTACTTCTGAATTGGATAAATGATAATGTAACACTTTGCACAGCGAAGGATCTGTCGATGCCGGTTTTTAAGTTAAGAGTTACTACGAACTTTTAAATTATGAAAACGCAGCTGCAATTGAAAAATTTTTATACCATCTGCGATGAGAACCGAGCGTTGCAAATGAAAAGTTTGATTCTGAAAGTTTTCAAGCAAACGTATTCTCTTTGCACGCGTTGGAGTTGTTTTTTCCATTGTCAGTAATGTCGACGAGATTATCTTACTCGAAATTTTCTATACTCTAGCCGATGAAACACGTCGCGATCTTGAACAATGATATTAATCAAGTTAACGACTAATCAGTCTTTTGAAAATGTCTCCAAAATGTACCAAAGCCGGAACGATTTAGAAGCATTTCCGAATTTCATTTTCTACGTACAAATAAAAGCGAAATTCGATTATTTATAAAGAAGAATTTCAAGCGACTGAACAAAATAAAAGTAACGTATGAACGAATGAAAATTTGGAAAATGTAATTAATATCGTAATACTTTAGCTTCAATCATATTTCTCTAAATAAGAAGTTTCTGTGAAATTTCAAACATTTCGAGCAGCAAACGAAAAGTCTTCGTTAAAATCAGACCGATTAGATGAAATATCGACGATATTTCTTACGGTCGTCGTCGATCGTGAGTGGAATAAATAAAATCAATAGAACTTTAGAAAATAAAATTTTAATTTTACATGGAACTTTAAACTGCCCGTTGATTCGCGTCAATGGTTAAAAAAAAAAAAAAAAAAAAAAAAA